AACTGAAGCAAGTAATCCTATTAGTTCAGACCGATCAGGAGAAGCGATAGCTGGGTTACTGAATACTGGAAGTGAGAAGTCTTTTATTACAGAAAAAGTAGCTAAAAGTAAGAAGCGTAACCCTCTCATGTCAGGCACGATGAGCCTGCATACTTTGGGAAAAGTTAGACCGGAACTAGTTCCCTCTACTATCTACAAAGTTGAGGTAAGAGGAGAAGACGCTAAACGCTTGCAAGTACACTTTATACCAAGCATTACATCTTTAACAAAAAAAAAAGAAATAGAAATTCAAGACTGAATTTTTGATGACAAAGGTATATCAGTACGCTGAGGTGGACTCAAAGATGTTGATAAGCAGCTTGCAAACTTTCTAAAGTCTCGGCAGATTTATTCTGGAATTTGGAAAGCATAGGAATTACAGACTTGCCGTGAGTGAAAGACGATGACCAGTGGCTAGAATCATTCAAAGAAAACAGTAAAAATAAAAAGTGGAAAGTATGAAGTGGACTGACCGTGAGACTTTACAAAACCACGGTTAGCCAATAACTATGAACTATTTATGGAAAGACTTTGGAAGAGACTATTCTAAAACATGCATCTACAGCAGTATGGCGGTATTATTCGAGGCCAACGACAAAGGAGATTATCAAAACAGTCGATTTATTACAAAAATTTTGGAGAATAAACTTCTCACTGCATCAAGCAGTCATTAAGTTAAAGAAGACCACAACAAAACTATGATCATCCATGATGCGTGAGCAACAAGTGACAAGGCATTTTGGTGGCTTAATGAGGCGCTACATCGAGGGTTTGTCATACTCCCTCTTTTAGCCGGAATTTAGTTAAGAACCGGATATTACCATAATATTGTTGTTGTAGATATCGAGAGGGTTATATACCTATCTTTTAGAAAATTTGCATGGAAAAACTGATTTGTGATAAACTTTCAACTGACTTTTTAACAGAAAAATAGAACGCAACAGGTGAAAATGGCAGAATAATGCAAAAATTTGGCATTTTCAGACGCAAACTGGAAGGCTTAATGCTGATTTCCTTTGGCTCTACCCACTAAACTGCTCACAGTATATCGCCGAGAATCCGCAAGTGCTGAGGCTAGAACAAATAAAAGCAAAAAATGGTGAATTTTAAGGGGTTTTACGGCAACGCTCGTAGAAGTTATCATCTTTTTTTCACCAAAGTTTATTTTGAGATTAGTACTAATTTTTTGTTTGTCGCTTATGTAGCCTGTTCTAATTCTGTGCTTTTTTTGTGAGCCTAACATTCGTTCTTAACATCCTTAGACACAGGATAACTGAAGTTTGGTTTCAAATTTTTTAAGAATACTTGTTGTAAACGTAGGTCTTTTTCAGTTTTTTAAAATATATTTAATTTTTTGTAATTTCTTAAATGTTGTTGTTCTGATGAAGTGTAAATTATATTCCGCATTGCGCTTCAAGTAACCAGTCGGCTATAATACTTTAAAGAAAGCAAAAGCGATTTATTTGGCTTTTTTCAATGCTTGCTTCTAGATATTTTTGTTTTTTATCTTTATAAATTGTTTTCCACATCTTTACAATTATTTTAAGTATTTTTAGTAGCTTTTTCATTGTACTTCCAAATAAATTTTTTTCGCTTTACAAGTATTCCTGGTTTAGGGTTTTCCATTTTTGCTTGTTTTGGTCATACTGAAATGGCAATGAGGTACATTTACAAAGGGTAGATGTAAATAAAAATTTTTAAAAACTTTCTGATCTGTTTTTGCATTAACAAAATTTTATGCTGCTGTTTCTTAACAGTTTCACTCCAATTTGCTAAAGACTTCTGTTTTTTTTCTACTTCTGCTTTATCGGTCTTCAATTATGTTCAGTTAAATTAATAAGGAAAACGAGCCCATCAAACTGAAACAGAGTCGAAGAGATCACTTTTTTAACTGTCAGATAAATCAAAGTTAAGTGATACTGGCGATGTTTTTACAATTTAACTTTAGCTGTTTCTTATCATCAACGCAGTATTTTGTGACAGAGCAACTGCTGGATAAAAATCCGCGTAAAATTGAAAACTTTATTTCAAAAAACTTTTTCTACATAAGAAACTTTTTGTAAAATTATTGTTAACCAAACTTATTAAAAACTAATTTTCTTTATAAAAACATTAGAATTTTCATCAAAATTTTAAAAAATTTTTACAAGTGTCGTTTGTTCTTTTTATTCTCCAGAATTATTCTTATATTTTGGTGGCAAAAGCTGCAGAAAACTTACAAACAAATCAAAATCTCGAGAAAACAAGTGGCAAAACTCACTTAATTTATAAGCTAAATTCTTTTAAATAGTAATTTAATTCGGAAAAAATGCTAAAAAATGTTATTCCTTATTTGAACAACAATACTGCTGTCACTTTCTGCTACTACAGTATCATTTACCTATTTATTTTAGCAAATATGTTGTCGACCAGTGAAGGGAAACTGTAATAATGTGCTTGATCAGCGCAGTTTCACTGCTCAAAATTTTTTCAACTTTGACTACTTACTTTTTCAAACTAAGAACAAATTTTTTGATTGTAGAGCATAAACCACATGTACTTTATAATAAAAATTAGGAAATTATGCAGTTGTACATATTACAATTTTTGTCTTTTTCTTATTCAAAAAAGCTCATCTTGATTTTAATTAGCCGAAGTACTTTTGTACAACTGTTCACTTTCATTTGGTTGAGTCTATCTGAAAACACTGTAAAAAAATTTGTTAAAAAAATTGACATATTTGTTTTTTTTTTCTAAACTTTACTTGGCAATTATGGTTATGGTTTCTGACTTGAAAAAAGGTGTTTTGCTCTTTGCCAACTCTCAACCGATACCGAAGGTTTCTCGGAGCTACAAGTGAGGTTTTTTGTACTTATCAACAAGTAGCAACAACTTGCTGTTTTAAAACAGAAGATTTTTTTATTTTTTTAATCGAATTTTTTAAGCGGTATAACTGATGAACAAATTGATGTTATGTGCGTATTAGCGTTAGAAGTTGTTCTTTTTTTTTTTAAATCACGAGTAATAAATGAGTTAGAAATCTCTTTCAAAAGTCTCGTAAATATCTAGATTTTGCTGACCAGATGATGTTATATGCTTATATACTTGTTGCTGTTGTAGCATCGCAAATATTTGTTTTATTAACAATTAATGAGATTCTCAAGATGTACAGTAGCAGTGAAATATACCCGTAACACAAAACATGACGAGGAAAAAGTGTAAACAACAACAGTCAAGAACAAACAAGTTGGTAATTTAGGACTTCTGGTATTATGCAAAACTCAACTTTATCAAGACTAGGTTAGAAAAAATTTATTTTTCTTCACTATAAAAGTAGATTTGTTGTTCATTTTTGCTTGTGGCTTAGCAACATTTTGTCTACTCTAAAGTTATAAATACCAGAAAAGAATTCTAGAAAATTTGCTACATTCCTATCGTAAAAGGTAGATGTAGTATTTCTTTTTGACAATACAGTTTTTCGTTGCTTAAAATACGCTGTGTAAGTAAAGTTTATCTTACAAATCGTCCTTCCTTTTGCATAACCCCAGTCTTGCTGTACACCTCATTTGATCAGTGCACAAAGGTGGTCAAATGTAATAAAGCGATTTGAGGCCTACAACCACTTGAACGTACGAGCAATTTAGATATTTACATAGAATTAAATATGACTTGTTAAAAACTGCTGTTAAATTTTTTCTCAATTTAACACTTGGTAGATGCCTTGAACGTACTGGTAGTATGCGGATACTAATAAAGCAGCATTTGGAGGCAATTTTAGGCGAGTGATGTTATGTAGACAGAATCAGTTGTCGAGTATGAGACTTAACAGATAAAAGAACGGTAAGTGTAGAAATGAAGTGAAACTAGAGATGTGGCCAGAAGATGAAAAATTTGATAACCGCAATGGCAACCAAACACTGGCGACGATGATGACGGATTTGTGGCTATCAACTGTTCATTTGCAGTTTGGAGTGAACTTCGACGTACCCATAGCTCATTAAACTTTTTTGATTTTGGACTCCATTCACTCTGCGGATAACTGAAAGTTAGATTTTTACAGCGAAATGAGCATTTTATAATTTTATGAGGAAATATCAAATTTTAATCAGTTCTTGGCTAAACTGCGTTTATAGTTACTATGTGTAAGTAAAGTGTAGCTACGTTTGTAATCACAACAAGTAGTTTCTTCCCAGTTGATAAACTTATAACTTATAAAAAAAGCATAAAACTTTGCAAATATTTAGTATTTCTTATTCTACGATTAAATTCTTTCAGTCGTCGTTTTTTACTACATTAACACCAAAAGTAACACAGGTCCACATACTAAATTTTATCCATATCTGATACTGCTTTAACAGCATATCCATAATCGTCCAGATATTTGACCACAGATTTTTCTCCCAAAAGATGACCTAAAAAGGTGACTTTTAGCACATTGTTTTTTAAATTACAGCCGGTTTCATTTTTTTTCTTTGTTTTTTGCTTATAAAAATTTAAACTAACAGTGCATAGTTTTTTGCGTTTCACTTACACTTTTGGTGATTTTTTTGAGAAAACAATTTTACTTTTTTCCTTTTCTATTTTTTTCTTAGTAATTAAGAAAAAAGGAATAAAACTTGCCTAATCCAAGTGCAAAAAAGTGTCGGCTAGTTCCTTTAGTTTCAAGAAATTCAATGATTCGTTCGGCTATTCTTTTATTTCTTTGTAGCATAATATCGTTGAAAAACATATTTCCAACCTTAATGTTTCAAAAATCTGAATAGTAGACTTTTTCAGAACGAAAACTTTATAAAATTTCTAGTGTTATTAAGAGTTTCCGGGGCAGTGGAACAGAAAAAAGAAGGAATGTAGGTTGTTCCAAGATGAAAGAGAAATAGAGCTGTTAAATTGCAATTAGAGATCGTTGTTTTTTGCAGTATTTTTTTTTTAAAATATATCCAGTCACATCTTGTGGACATCAGTTGAATACAAATCTGAGATCTTGTCAAAATTGGTTGATAAAATTAGTCTAAAAATACAGTCGGAGAACAAAGAATGCACCTGTTCAGCTTTTTTATCTATTTGATAGCCAAGTGAAAAACCAGCACGAGTAGCGTGTTTTTGCCGTGATACTATTACGGTGTCTATGTTCATGTCGCCGCACTGATACCGTTCAACTAGTCCGGAACTACTGAAGAAGTTGTTGTTTTGCCCAGTTAAATCTCTTTTCTCTGCCATAAACTCCAAATACGACAGTGTATAGTTGATTGCAAAAATAATCTGTAAAAAAAAAATACTGTTTTTATTATTAATTTTTAGCTTAGTAGCTTTAAGCAAATGAATGGTTTACAAAATATTTATCAACACACTTATAAACTACTTCAGCTTAACAGTAAAAAGATTTAATAAACAGAAAAAAAGTAAAAGTTTAGACATTGTGCACATTTATTATATTCCTAAATTTGATAACGAATAAATAAATAAGAAAAAATTAAATAAAAAATAAAATATAAACCAAATACCGAATCCAAGTTTACGGTTTGTAATGGATTACACTGCTGCAAAACAATGATCACACATTATAACAGATCAGATAAATTTGTTGTTGAATAGTTGAAGAAAAAAAAAAAGTTGTTTTTATAAGAGACAATTAGAAAATGATTACTGCTAAAAAATTATTAGTTCTGAAAAAGGTGGCAATAACAGCAATAAAATTTTACATATTTATTGTTTCAATATGGTTAATTATGCCAAACTTTATTTTTAGCTATTTAATTCTTGTTTTTTTTTCCTTGTTAAGTTTAAATTTTTTGATTTTATTAAAGTATTACTAAACGTAACGTAGCATCAAAATTGCCGAAACACCGAACATATACCTCATCTGTGGTTTCAATGGTCAAAATATTTTTGTTATTATGTTTTGCATAAGCAGCCAAATAGAAATCTAATGGTGACGATTTTTCCGGTATTTTGTAGTCCAATTGTTGCAACAAAATTAACAACCATAACGGTTTACGTGTTTGCCAACCACCTAAAAAAAAAAAAAAAAAAAAAAAAAAAAAAA